TGTTCCACCTCATATACCTGAAGATGGAAAACGATTGAATCTCCTTGATCTTCTTGTGACCAAGAGAGGTTATATGGCCTCAGACAGTCGAGACATGATCTATGCACTCTCTGGCATTGCTAAAAGACCGAAAGGTACACAGCCATTTGCGATAAGTTATGAAAAATCGCCGCGCCAAGTGTATTCAGACATTGTCAACTATCTCATCGAGACTGACAAGAATTTCGACGTTTTGAGTCATGCAGAACAATATTTCAATCATGCCTACCATACTCGACCATTAGTGCCATCACGGATGCCATCATGGGTGCCAGACTGGACAACCCGGGCACAATACAAACAAAAGATCGTTGACTGGGTTGAGCCTCTTGATAAATCAAGAAGTGCCCTCTCGAATAGTGCATATCTCGACGATCAAGGAGTCCTCGCTTGCGTGGGCTACAAAATCGGCATAATAAACCTAATTACTGATTTCCCTCGCGATATTCAACTAAGTGACGAAGGCAGAGCAGGTCGAATACTATGGAATGAGTGGAAAGATAAAAAGCTTCCGGATAGTGTTTTGGAACTTTTCAGTCGCTTACATCCCTTGATATACAATCGAAGATATGCCGAAACGCTTGAAGGTACGTGTTGTTTGGTACCAGGAGGGACACAAATTGGTGATATTGTTTGTCAATTCATCGGGAGTTCACTACCCTATATTCTCAGGCCAATTCAATCGACAGATATCAAGTCCGAAGAAGGATGGAGAGCTTGGAAAACATTGCTGCATTTCTCTCGCTGGTGGAATAACTCGAGAGTACCAAGACAAGAACTCCCTACCAAATGCCTAGATGCCAAAATTTCAACCATTTTAGAAAACAAAACATCAGGATACCAAACTCTCGAAATTAGACACTATAATTTTGTAGGAGAATGTTTTGTGGATGGATTGATGAGCAATGAAAATAGTCAAACTCTTCAACGGCAACATTCTCAAGACAAGACCGTATTCGCAATGCATTGAAAAGAACAGGTGAGATTCGCTGGTAGACTGGTTTCGAATTTGAAATCGATCTATAATAGCTTCGATTTCTGAAGATTGTGGATCTATACTTTTGACCAACAAAAAACATAAGGATCATGTCATATACGACGAATTCGCCGTCTGGATGAATGAATGGATGATTGAGGTCTGTCCCTATTTCGTCCGTTGCATCTGCAAAATTCATTTGTAAAGATAACAATGCTCATAGCATCAACGCGAGAGACACTTCTCATATTTCCACCGAAAGGGAATGGATAAGGTCATAGGCAATAACCAATTTGAAGCCTTCTTTCCTAGATAAAGCTTCATTGATGGTACTTGATAGCAGCCGGCAAAAGCCAGCATTCTCATTCGGCTCGTTTTGACAATATCTATTATCCAAATTATTAGAATAACTGTGATCCTATCTCCTCTCCCCCTAGAAAATATAATGAATGTTTCAAAGGAGAAGAAATTATCGTAAATGTTGATTTTCATGTGAATGTGGCATAAGATCACGAGTTGGTTAAAGTCGCCTGCCGCGCAAACACCAAATCAAACCATGATTCCAGGACGAGACAATCGCGTCATATTACTACTATCAAAGCCACAAACTACAGTATCATACAACCTCAAGATATAATGTTCTTCATACCGTCGCTGTCAACTTAATACTTTGTGATACTTGAGGTTATCCCACTACATTTCTGCTTGACTGCAACTTCAGTGAGACTTACAAAATTCCCATTATCGTGGCAATGACGTCGTCTTCTGGCCCCGCAAGACCGGTATCGCCGAATAGCTTCTATGCTCTGAGCGACGACGAGGAGGGCGATTATAATACTGTTACATATACAGAATCGGGAAGAGGGGTCAAGTTACTGTTCTCCAAGAGCAAGGTAATAATTTCCAGCAGCTTGATGCTTCCAGCAAAGTGCGGGGTAGTTCAAGCAGCTTGTTACTAACATCACAACCACAACACCAGGTTTATATTCATCCTACTCCATCTGCGAAAGATAATATACCCGGATACATAGCTCTATTACAACAGAAGTCAACTCCAGATTCGCGACCTACATCTTCCGCCTCTAAAGATGCAAAATCTAAGACCTCCGCCTCCTTACTCCTGGCATGGCTTCCAGAATCATCTCTTGGGGATTCCTTGAATACATATGTGAAGGTCGATCTTGCAGAAGACGATTCTCCACCTAAGCAATCATATCTCGTACCACCTCCTCCAACAACCACCACCCATTCTGGATCCGTCGGTCATTATGCCTTCGCTATACCCGTCTCGCAGATTTATAGCCTTCTCGTACGACCACCGAGCTTAGGATGGTGGTTTGGAAGTGTCATAATAAACTCTCGAGCAGGAGATTCCTTCCCTGCACTATTCTTTCATGACTCGGAATGTCAATCTACAATTTTACAAAAGAAGAAGAGGACGAGGGAATCATTCGATCCATTTGGCGCGAATGGAGAGATGTTTTGGGGTGGCGATGAGGTGTTAAGGTGGCTGAGACGATATGTTGAGATTGAAAGGAGTGGTGCAGAACCTAACATTTACTTGGTGGAGCCTTCGGCTGAAGATAAGGAAGCGTTCGGAGACAAACCAGTCACATCTGCGCTGGTGAGGAGACCATCAAGCAGTGGTGCTAGAGTTGGAAGTGCTGCCGGTACAGGTTCGAGTGCATATAGAAGTGCGCAGAGAGACGCTGGGATGGATCCAGTTACGAAGTTTGTAAAGGAAGCAGGTTGGAATCTGATGGAGAAGTTTAGTAAGGTTACGACATTTACGAGAAGGACGGCCGATTCAATTGTTGAAAATCCGAAAGTACCGCCACAGGTTAGGAGATTCATGAAGAACCCGGAAGTTCAAACAATACAAGAGGAGTTTGATAGTGCTAGGATATACTTAGCGCGATGGGCTATGGGTATCGCAGAGCAGAGTGAAAGGGACAAAAATCAGAGGATATGGACAGCAAGGGATGTTTTAGAAATGGAGGAGACAGATGTCGGCGACTTCGAGTTATTGGAAACAGAAATGGGTTCTTTGACTATGAGGGAACAGAGGAAACCCGTAACATTCGGAGAATGGAACAAGTTTTTTGATCAACGGACTGGCAGATTATCTGTTACCGTAGATGAGGTTAAAGAAAGGATATTTCATGGTGGACTCGACCCAGAAGATGGAGTTAGAAAAGAGGCCTGGTTGTTCTTGCTCGGTGTTTATGAATGGGATTCTTCAGCAGATGAAAGAAAAGCTGTGATGGCAGCTCTACGAGATGAGTATGTGAAATTGAAAGGTGCTTGGTGGGACCGTTTAATCGACTTGGGTGGTGAAGGAGAAGAAGGGGAGTGGTGGCGAGAACAGAAAAATCGAATAGGTAATAAAACTCAATATCCCCTCATTCTGAAGACTTGAAAGAGCTGACATATCCCATTTCTTGGGGTTCACACGATAGAGAAAGATGTTCATAGGACGGATCGTAACATCCCATTATACGCAGGAGAAGATACGCCACATCCAGACCCGAACTCACCATTTGCTGATGTTGGTACCAATGTTCATTTGGAGCAAATGAAAGATATGCTTCTAACCTATAATGAATACAATCGCGACCTCGGTTATGTACAAGGCATGTCCGATCTTCTCGCTCCAATATATGCTGTCATGCAAGACGATGCTATCGCTTTCTGGGGGTTTCAACATTTCATGGAGCGTATGGAACGTAATTTTCTCCGGGATCAATCAGGAATGCGTTCTCAGCTTCTCACTCTCGATCACCTTGTCCAACTTATGGATCCCAAGCTTTATCTCCACCTTCAAAGCGCAGATAGTACTAATTTCTTTTTCTTCTTCCGCATGTTACTCGTCTGGTATAAGCGTGAATTTGCATGGTTGGACGTTTTACATCTTTGGGAGGTATTATGGACGGATTACTTAAGTCAAGGGTTTCATCTTTTCATTGCTTTAGCAATCTTAGAGAAACATAGGGACGTTATCATGACACATCTGCAACATTTCGATGAAGTATTGAAATATGGTATGTTTTCATATTCATGACATAAGATTCAAGGGTGTCAAATACTAACGAGACAAAGTTAATGAATTATCCAATCAGATAGATTTGGAATCCACTCTTGTTCGTGCAGAAGCATTATTCCGTCGCTTCCAGAGAACAGTCGAGGCTATCGATAAAAAGTCCAATTTCCCAAAGCCATCTATTAGACACCGTGCTACTCAAAGTACATCACAAGTTGCTGAGCCATCTAGCTCTACCAGTGCATCAAGTGGTACAGATATGGGGAGTGGTACAATCGAGGGTGCAAGAAAGGACAAAGGAAAGAAGCCAACCAATGGGGAATTGGAAGACATGCCTGAGAGACCAAAAGTTATTAGCAAGGAGCTGAGAGAATTGTTAAGCAGGAAAGTGATGATCTTGCCCAGGAAACTGGTCAGGAGAGAAGGAGAGGGTTTGGCCAAAGTGCAGAAGCAATAGTGAATTTATGGGAAGGGAATATGGCAATGGAAATATGGGTCAGGCGTCTGGGTCACGAACTGTACGTTCAATGAGTTCTTTGGGTTGTAATGTTTTGGTAGGCGGTGAGTTGAAAGTATTTGGGGGCCATGCGGGTATTTTTATATTTTGGTCGAATGGAAATGAAACATCTGCATCTCAGTCACGCTAGTGTTATACATTCATAATATATCATTGATATTTCCTGGCATTGCTGCAACAATCTTGCAATGATTAGAGCTCACGCTTCAGTATGCATGCAGATGTTCATAAATTCTCGCATTCAATTTTTCTGTTCTCGCTCCAAATCTCAAATGAAGTAAAGATGATCTCGAGCATTTCCACATGTCAAATCGGCCACTTGTATAATCACATTTGTATTGAGATATTTAATACTTCCCATTTGCTCCTTGTTATTGCTACAGTTCTCTCCCCTTTCTGATACGAATGATTTTTCAACGGGCAAGATTTCAAACACTGTAGTCTTTTGTGCTCCCTCCACCATTGACCTTGTCCTCTTGGTGTGCAAGTTTCAAGGTTCCTGTTGATGTGTACCCTTTCGTTGACATCCTGGCTCCAATTGTCAGTACAATTCTCATTCCGTCCCGATTTCTTGTTCCCCAAATTGAATATTATACATAAAGGATATAAGTCTAGGATACGTACAAAAAACTGAATAAATACCCCAATGTACTCATTTTGCCTTCAGTACCGATAGATTCTTCTCTTCCGACTTTCCCCCTTTTATGCAAAGTTGGCGCAGCAGGATTAGATGGGGAAGATGGCGATGATGAAAGGGAGTAGATATCTGGTGGTATTATTACCCAATCATTTATGTCTTCCTCTTCCAATTGCTGTTGGGAATTATAATCAGGAGGAGAACGAGAACTGGTGTAAAATTCTGAAGCAGAGATATCTTGAATGAGGGGGGAAGGTGGACGATCTCTGGTTTGAGGGACAGAAGTTTTAGAGAATTGACGGTGCGAGATGGGGTGGAACCATGGTTGGGGAGTAGATGGTTGGGGAGTAGATGGTTTCGTCGAGGGTGAGGACACAGAGGGGGAAATTGAAGGAGATGGTGGCGCTAGGGAATCAAAATTTGATTGTAAGGAATCGAAAAAAAGTGCTTTGCAAAATGGTGGAACGTCAGAGGGTTCTTTGTTTGACGGGCTGGATGATTTGAGCTCGCGGTTGATTGTGGATGTGCTGCTGTGTTCACATTCATACGAGCTACGGTTGAAACTCGATGTAGTCGGAGGGGAAGTGTGGATTTGAGCCGGTGGTGTAAGTGGAGTGCGAGGTGGTGGACGAGTAGGAGGGGGAGGATAAGGAGGGAGGGTATCCGAATCTGAGGTTGATTCTTGTTCGTCGGAAGGGGGGAGGAATACCCAAGTGGGGGGTCGCGGTCGATTGATTATCAAGTTGGCATCTGCATTTGATGGAAGTGTGTAGGGCATCCTGATGGTGACTGGGGAGTTAAACGGCGAGGAATGAAGCTTTCTCGTATTGGATTGGCAACTCGATTTCGCTATCGTTGGAGAGCCGTCTGCACCAAACTTCGCACAGTTCAGAGGATCGAGGCAACAATAAGATTTAGGAATCAAACAATCGAAGTAGAATAGAATGAAATGGAGTTTACGATGACATGATGTGAGAGTCTCTCATTAAAGCGAACATGCTTTTACATCTTTCGGATTTATTTTCTTTGTCCTGATTCGTGGATTTGATAGACCTCTTTGTTCAGAGACTATCTAATGATTTATAATGTGAATTTAGGAATCATTAGGAAAATACGTTGGTCCAAAATTCGATAGTTCCTTTGTTTGATATCTGATGCTTGCGGGAAATTCAACAGAATATAGTATTGGGGGAAGAGGGGGGGGGGGGGGGGGGGTTGTTCGTAGACCCGAGTATGGAAATTCGGAGAAAGAAATTGCCTCGAGGGAGCTTGGGGAATTTGATGAATTTGAACTATCGTATGATTAGTTCTGTATAAGATTGATCGCATTTGCACAACATTTGTGGTAGTAATCTATGTATCAACTGGAATCTGAATATGGTTGAGGCGACATTGATGCAAACATCACAATTCCAATGGTGTGTAGGATTGAGTCATTTTGTTAATCAAACTTGCCATGAAGAACAATTGTTCTGATACAATCGAATGTCAATAACTCTTCCTACTGATAGATGATAGCATCCATGTAGAATATCGAAAGGCGGTAGGTTTCCAGATTTAATCAAGTACTCGCTAGCAAAGCAATTTGTACAGATGACTGTCTTAATTTGGTATCAACATATGAAGTGAAGTGCAACGACCTAAACTCATCGTACTAGAAGACCAAAATCTGAAAATTCCCACTTGCAATCGAAAGAACGCCACAGAAACCGCTCAAATCGAATCCTGAACTCCCAAACTCCAACCTCCAATTCCCAAACCTTGAACTCCAATATTCTCCCTGGCCCATACACTAGACTCCTGAAACTATGTTCTACGAACAACATACATTCAGTGCTTTGACTATCAAGCATAGATTCATGGATCGTCATTCTTCTTCTCTGGAGTGCGCAACGGGTATTTGCAGAGCAGATTATTGAAAAGTACAAACAGATGATTTGCAGGTAAATCCACGACTTATTATTTATTCCAGCTTAGATTTATACTGAATTTAGAAGAATATCATGCTGCAGAGCAAGTAGTACATCTTGCAAATAACCTACAGAACAGATAGGACCTTTAGTAGAGCATCTGCAGAGCAGATTTTTTGCGCAGCCTATTCTCCTCTTAGAACCTATCCTCAACCTTTGCTTGTCCGATGCCTTTAGCTTTACAATCCAATAAAGCCCCTTTTAAAAGCGCCTCGATCACATTCTTCATGGTCTCCGCATTGGTACTTGCAGGAGACTTGAACGGATTCTCCTCATCTTCATTCAATTGAGCCGCCGCATCAAGTTCCTCCTGGGTAGCAGTGTCTGGATTCATTCTCGGAGTAATACCTACAACACGATGTAGTTTATTATGATCCGGTTGTCTCTCATAATCGGGGGTTTCTAGGACATCTAACGCATCCAGGACAGCTTCAGGACATGTGCCTAGAGCAGCTAGCACATCATAGACTATGACTTTGCAATACTCCACAATTTCTTCACTTTCTGGATCCGGTAGCAGCTCGGGGTTTATTTCGCGTTCTCTCGTGTCGAAATAAGTGGTTCTTCTCAGTAGGAACCATTGCTGATCGCGATCTTTCATGATCGGGGCAGACTTCCCGTTGATCATCCTACATGCTCCTTTGTAGTAAAGTATGTTTTGGGGTGCTTCTATATCTCTCAAAGCGATTCCCAAAGTTTGTCCTGTTTCGGCCATTTCTGAAAATATTGTAGGTCTTAATGGTGTGCCATATGCTGCGATCTTGTTGTAAACCACTGAAGAGATTTCTTCTCGATCTAGAAACGAATGGAAATTTTGCGCAGATGGCCAATGAAAGTCATTGTTGGCAGCTCCTTGGTCAGCCTTGAGGATACTGTGACTTGTGGGCTCTTTGCTGTTATCTCTGGATTGATCGAGTTTGTAGTTACCTTGTAGGACAACCTTGGCTATTACATGCTTCAAAGGGTGTAGCTCTGAGGAATCCTTTGGCCGTAATGATCTTTCAAAATCAGAAATATCTTGTAGAGAAGATATAAGCAAGAACGTTAACTTATAGTTGTCTCTCTCGGCGTTATTCTTGAGCTGCTGCAAAAGTTCCAGGCCTCTGAGTTGCTTAGGATAAGGTTTTTTTCCCATGACGCTTACAGGGAATTCATATAAATCTGGGGAAATGTTCTTTTCGGTGCCTCTGGTGCCTTGTCCAACAGGTATATCCTCAAGGCCGAGAAGATCAAGAGATTGGCGTGCGAGATGTGCCCTTGCGTCTTCCGGTAGCAGGTTTGCTATAAAACCTTCGAGTTTTATTGCACCCAGACGATGAAGTTCCTTCAAAAGTATCATAGCCGCGAGATCATCATAATCTTTACCGACATCTGTAATGACAACAACGTGGGGGATATCAAAGCTCTGTTTACGCAAGGTACTGACAGCATCTATGATTTTTTGATAGACCGCCGTCTCTATGTCGTTGAGGCCATCCGGAATAGGGGTTTGAGTTTTTGGACCAGTCATATTGTGTTTCTGAAGAAAGTGTTCTAGCTTTGATGTAATCTGGCATAGAATATTGGAAGTTCCGTGGGTGTATGAAGTGGAAGAATCCATTTTGATAGTGATGTGGGAGGAAACTATTTATGTTTCAAAAATCCTGCGCAATAATGGTCATCGTATAACAAAGGTCAAAACTTAATGTAATGAATCAAGTATGATCAATCAAAGAGGGATGATTCATGTTGGAAATCAGCAAATTTGTTTGAATGAGTGAATAGAGTAATTCAAAGGCCTAGGTAACCTTATTCATGGGACTATCTAGGTTGCTGCGGCACGAAGCCAACGGACAATGATTCCAAAGACAAGTATATACCTTGGAGGTTAGATGAGGGAAATGTTCGGGCAGCACACAATAGGACCTTTTGCAGGCGAGTTTTGCGAACGTCTTATGTTTCTCTGATGATTGTGAACTCTGATGATGTGAATAATCTCGAACAATTGAGGTTAAAAGTCAAAGGGATGGATGTTGTGACTAAATAATGACAGGGTGACCTAAGGCTGAGAAGCTGGCGTTCTCCTAGGCACTCTCAGTGGTCCACTCAATCATTCTAATAAAGTTCTTCGTGGAGTAATAAGGCTCTCGAGTCTCGAGAGGCTCACCAGCTCTCCTTATTCATGGGTTTAGCGAAAGGCGAGGAGATGGTTGTCTATGCCCATGCTTTATGCTTACTGGCTCGACTGGGTAGCTTGGATGCCGACGCCGACATACCGATCCTGCACGATAGCCTCGCCTAGCCTAGAGTACTCATCATCGTTTATCGCTCTGCGCAAAGCCATTCCAAGCAATTCAATCACCGCAGTCAATCGCCTTCATCATGGATCTCTTATCTACTATACGCAAATCTGGTTCACGAGGAGGTGTAAACTTTAGTTGGGATGAGGTTCAAAGTTCTCAAGTAAGTAAACCCCGCGACCAATTAATCAATCCAATGGATGCCGTTTACTCACATAATATTCTCGCAGCATCGAGAAAATTACCTTGGTCATTCTCTTATGGCCCCAGTTGGTCGATGGCAAAAGGGAAAAGATTTGAATTGGTACGCAAAGGGAGACGCTCAAACGACTGGCAACGAGACTGCAGAAGAGAAGCAGGCACGAGAAAGAAAAGAAGAGATTCGAAAAATTAAAGAGGCTGAGGAAGACGCGATAGCAAGGGCTCTAGGATTGCCGGTCGCACAGCGTGGTGAAGCCACAGGAGCAAATAACGTGGAAGTTGGAGAATTAAAAAGAGTTATCAAAGAATCGGAAGAAGGAACCGATGATGCTGAAGGAATGGGAAAGGGTACTGGATTTGGCGATTATGTTGGTAATACTGATGGGCAAGAGATGCTGCAGATAAAATCCGAGCCTTCAGAGCAGAGAGGTGGATTACTGAGGAATGACCGCAATAATGAAAGAACCAATAGATCCGGAGCGGATAGAGAAGGGCGATCAAAGGAAAAAGATAGACGAAGACATCGAAGTCGAAGTAGGGATCATGAAAGAGAACGAAATCACAGGAAGCATCGACATAGGTCAAGAAGTGGTGAACGAGAACATCATAGGCGTCGACATGATGCCAGCCCGCGAAGAAGGGCAAGAAGTCGTAGTCCAGCAGCTCGACCCCGCAGATATCGGAGCAGAAGTCCCGATCGAAGACATCGATCAAGGAGAGAAGATGAGAGTTCTAGACACAACAATCCACGGGAGCGAGTGCCTCGAAGAAGTCGCTCGCCAGACATACGAGGCAGAGAAGACAGGATGCCAGAGAAGAGACGTTAATTTCATGATATTTTTTCTCACATATGGGGAGGGAGTCATCGAAATGGCGTTGATATTGTAATGAAAGTATACCCATTTGTAGTATTCAGTCTACTCAAATACATATTCAGAATGCAAAGTAATGATTCAAAATTGCTCACATACCTGACAATACCCCTATCTGATTTCCAACATCAGCAGTTGACTTATAATCTACGTAGAGATTATGAATATTATCAGGGTATGCATATACGCATTCAGTATCATTCAGTACCTACGTAGGTAGGTCGGCGTCTTTCATCAAGCATAGCCTACCAACTTCTGCAGCCTTACTTGGTAGCCTTATTCTGCGGAACTAGATGCCTTTCTGCAGGCAACCTTATCTATTCTTGCTCTTTAACCCACCGCGCTTTTGATAGAATTTTGAATTATTCCATTTCTTCTTGAACAATACCCAAATAATTTGATATTTTGCATTTCAAGCGTCATCTTTCGGTTATTCATTCATTAACTCCCGAGCAATTATTTAATCCTTAAATTCATTAGACTTTACATGTTCTGGAACCCGCTAGAGTAAGATAGTGTGTCTCAGCCTTCCTTCTAGCCTTCCCGACGCTGGTAGCAAACAACCGCCCATTCATCATAACTCCTTACTATAGATACTACTTCTCATAGGCATACATCATACATACAGAACGCTGTCATTCATATTAAAGCATGGTTCACAAAAGATAATCTTCTAGCTTGTTTGATTGTCTGATACACCCCCCCCATTCTATCGAGCCGTCGAGGGGAGGCAAATCGACACTCTGCGAGATCAAGAACACACATGATCGCCATGGACTTTACAAAACTACGAGCAGCTGCGCTGAATGATGGTGACGATGAAGAGGCCGTTACGGTTAATACGAGAGCTTTGATAGATAAAGTTCTAGCTAGATATTCTGGGGAATGGACAACTCTACGAGAACTAATCCAGAATGCTGCAGATGCGCAGGCGACGACAGTTACAATCAAGTTCGAGACATTGCCCTCCTTTCAAGTCCCAACCCCGAATACCACAAATCAATCAGAGATATTGAAACATGTCCTTCTCAATCATACGCTGAAGAGATTATTAGCCACCAACAACGGGCAGGCATTCGGAGTCAATGATTGGTCGAGGTTGAAGAGAATAGCTGAGGGGAATCCAGATGAAACCAAGATTGGGGCTTTCGGTGTTGGTTTCTATAGTGTTTTCGCTGATTGCGAAGACCCTTTCGTCAGCTCGGGAGATCAGGCTATGGCATTTTACTGGAAAGGCAACTCCTTATTTACCAAGAAGATACAATTGCCTCCTAGTGAAGCGAATCCCAATACAAGCTTCGTCCTCGACTACCGGAACAACACGACGCCAATGCCTAATTTGCTTTCTATAGCCCAATTCTTGGCAACAAGTCTGACATTCGTGGCTTTACAAAATATCGAATTATATGTCGATGATTTTAAGATTATATCTTTGAAGAAGAAATCAGCACCAAGTTATGATGTTCCTATTGCGAGGGATGTTACGACGAGGTCTAAAGAAGGGCTCATGAAAGTTCAAAAGCTTGAGAGAGAAAGTGTACAAATGGATGCTACCTTTATGAATGTGGTGGGTTGGAAACCTGCCAAACCATCCACATCTAAACCCTCTTATGATAATAGCTACGGGAGTTCCAACGATGTACCCTCTCTCCGTTCCTTCTTCTCTAGACTTACTTCGAATAATAGCCAGGCTCAACAAAAAGCAAAAGCCTTGCAAGAGGAAAAGGCTATGCAAGAAGTGCTACTTGAAGATCTGACAGCTCTGACAACAACCAATGTATTTCTACGTGTGACTACGGCAATGATCAAGACTTATATTCAGCCAAGTTTCGCAGCGGAGCTGGAACGAGCGACTAAGAAACCACCTCCCAAGACAACCAAATTGGCCATCCTAACATCTTCTTATGATGAGACCGAAGCATCCGCACATGATAATCTAGTTTCAAAGAACGTTGACGTTTTTGCATCTGTTCTTCCGGGAAAGAAACCTGGTGGTCGGGTTTTCATCGGTTTCCCGACTCATCAAACCACTGGTGCAGGTATGCATCTATCTGCGCCATCTGTTATTCCGACCGTAGAGCGTGAATCCATTGATTTGAATGCTCGGTATGTTCGAACTTGGAATCTGGAAATGCTTCGAGTTGCTGGTATCATGGCAAGATTAGCATTTGCTAATGAAATGTCTGATCTCGCTGACAAGATTAAACGTGCAACTCAATCAAACGGAAATGGAAATAAAGTAACGAAGCGCGAGATTGAGCAGTTTTTGCCAGAAGCTGCACACATATTAAAAACTTTTACCTTTGGAGATTCTACCCCAAGTTCTCAAGTTTCCCAAGTTATCGAAGAAGCGTTTTGGACAGCGTATCAGAAGGCATCGATCGAAGTTTATAGTACCAGGAGTGTTCTTCCAACGACGAAGGTTCGATTGGCCACAGAAGATTTGAGTGGATTTGTGGAGGGGATCCCTGTCGTTCCAGATGCACTTGTCGAATCTGAATTTGTGAAGAAGCTGAAAGACTTTGAGCTCATCACTGAAATCACAATTGGCGACGTCAAGCAAGAGCTTGAGGCAAAGGCACTTACCAAGGAACAACTAATCCAATTTATCAAGTGGGCAGGCCATAAGGCTATCCTTGGAAACATCGATGCCCAGACTATCCACTCTTTGTTCGATGTTGCTGTTGCCACTCTAGGGGATGATAAAAATCAGGGTGGAATTATTGCGCTTGGCAGTGTCACGAGTTACCTGAATGTTAATAGAATACCACCTGAAGCTCCGGTTCCTCCAACGACAATCCCTTTCGAGTTCACTCGAGAATGTCAACCGAACGAACTCCAGGCCCTAGGATGGGAGCCCCTCGAGATTGTGCCGTGGTTGCGTTATTTAATAGAATCGAGAGATCGAAATGGCCCGGAACAAAACATAACTACGACACCACAATTCGCGGCCAAAGTTCTTCACATCATCTCAAAGTCGTGGGAAGGAATGAGTGCCAATTCCAAAGCGACTGTCACATCACTACTGTCAACCTTGACAGTGATTCCAACCAAGTGTGGCATGAAAAAACCCGGCGAGGCGTTTTTCGAGAGTGTAAAGCTTTTTGAAGATTTGCCCACTCTAACGAATTGTCCGGGTGTCAAAGAGAAGTTCCTTGCAGCTATTGGAGTACGAAAAACAGTAGATCTGGAGACAATCTTCAGTCGACTTCTTGCACCTCCCACACAAGCCAAAGAAGGCGAGGTATCCAACAACAGTCGCCACATGGACTTGATCAAGTATTTAGCCTCAGTAAAGGAAGACATTCCATTGGAAGATCTTAAGAGACTGAAAGAATCACAAATCTGCCCTGCCGAGGCAGGCCCGCCTGGTCAGGAATCGTCCCAAGGTACAGCCCGAATGTACAAAGTTCGTGAACTCTTTGAGCCTAAAGACGCACTCAGGGACTTGGGACTGCCAATACTTCAATGGCCAGGGCCTTTGTTTAGTTATCGATCCACCAGTAATGAAGGTCGTTTCTTGTCTATGCTTGGGCTGAGATCTTTTCCTTCTGTTCCTGAACTTATTGATCTGATGTCGTCGACTGATTTCATCCTCCGAGACAAAGCTATGGTTTACTTTATTGCAAACCATCACATGAATGGTTACGCGAGCTTTGATGTCAATCACACTAGGAAAGGAATTCTTCCAATCGAAGGCGATGAGAAACGAAGAGTTGCCCCTTATGAATGCTTCACGAATGAGAAGAGCTCCGTTCTTGGTTTCGAAATATTGCGACAAGATCTTCGTATCCATGCTAACAAATTTGGTGTTGCCGTTGATCCCCCAATTACAGAATGCGTCAATCGACTTATCAAAAGTCCTCCAAAATCTCGCCGTGAAGCTATCACACTCTTTGGATATTTTTCGAGTAGACTCGGTGAGGTTGGTCTCAATAGTTGTGCTAAACTGAGTGATTCACCTATCGTTCCTATACCCGACAATCGAGAAATTACGAGCGGACTTTCCAATGAAAAACCACAACCTCCGAATAAGATCAAGTATCTTACACCTCGACAATGCTATCTGGGAAGTTCTTCAGAATATAGTAATATTTTTGACTTTGTTGATTTTGGTACCGAGGCCAATACATTTCTTCTTAAGTGTGGGTCTAAAAATGAGCCTACCAAGTTAGAACTCGCTGCTCTGGTTTGCCAAGAACCTGCTCGTCTTCTTGGAATCATGCAAAGTCCTGAAAAGTACTTGAATCTCCTGAGGTCTCTTGCAATTGATCTGCCCATGCTGAGAAGAGACACGGCTCTATTCAGGCAGATGAGAGTTTCCAAGTTTCTTCTCGGATCCAAGGAAATCTCGGCTGCCAAGGAAATATCAAATACGACCAGTCTTATAGACCAGCAGGATCTTGAGGTGGAAGAAACCGAGGATGCCCCCCTTAAGCAGTGGCATTTGGAGCAACCTAATCAGATTGTTGTTGTTGATGATTACAACAGCTACCGTCTCTTCAAAGAGAATTTGGTCTGCGCCCCTCTAGAGGATACTTTGGAAGAATTTTATCTCGCACTTGGATCTACCAACCTTAGTAACATTGTACAAGAAGATCTTCGTGTTGGTCAGGCTGTTCCATATCAAGGAGATTCCGTCAAACTCCGTAAACATATTCTTGAGAGATCAAAATTGTTCTTGCATGAATCACCACGTGAGAATGTGAAACGGGATAGTCGATGGCTGGAGAAGAACTTGACGGTACAAGTTGTCAGTGGCATACAAGTCCGACGATCCTTGAAAGGCCACAATCTGTCGAATACAGAAAAAAGAACTGCTGCCTGTATTCAAGAGCGATACAAAGGGTTACAACTGCTGGTGACTAATGCATATGATACATATCAAATTAGTTTGGCTATGTGCAAGCACTTATTAGCTCGCCCACAACAACAGTCATATCTTACGTTTGAATCTTTTCTCACTTTATCCTTACAGCAATTACGTTCTCGTGGTTACAATGTGGAGAGAATTCTTAGAGCCAAGGCAGCTGAGGCACGGATTGCCGAAGAAGAAAGAAAGAGACAACTCGAAACAGAACAGGAACAAATTCGGGAGCAAGAAAACCAATGGCGAGAAGA